ATTTACTCATTTACATTTAATACATTCAGCCTTTCAATTTGGCGTTGCTCTCTCCCCTTCCCATCCCCCTTCCTTCTTCCCTTTCTCTTTTCTCGCTCCTGTACGTCTCTGTTTGTTCTGTTTTTGACTAATTCGGCCCCCTCTTTGTTTGTCCAAGTGTTTCAATTAGGCAAAAAGCGTGTTGGCGGCCCTGCCATTACACACCCGCGCATCCTTCGACCCTTCTTCCCCCTCATCAACATACTATGGGCGAGCACATGTCAACCCTCGACGGCACATTCTGCCCACTCGATATGTGGCAAGCGGGCAACCCTAGCAGTTGCGCTTAGACAAGCGAGCAAGGAAGTAACTTGAACCATGTGCCTCATAGTATGGACTATTAAACACTTCTGTTGAGCTTCAGTGGCGTACCCGGGGGAATCAGTGCTATAAATAAAACAATTCGGCTAATTATGAAGAAGACCAAGTTTTGTTAAAGTCTGCACATCGTTAACGCTTCTGGCCAAGAGATTTTGTTGCTCGAAAGGTTATGTTCGTAAGCCTGATAGTTCTTTAGAGCTGAATAGAAACTAAGCCACCTCAGTGTGCAGCAGATACCATGTAGAGCTTTGTAAGGGTAAGTGAAATTCTACTTCACTTGCACCGCTTCCCCATAATGCTCTTCGTCGGCACGCCACTGCTTAAATTGGTCTCACTTGGATTGGCTGCCTCTTAGAATCTTCATCTGACGGATTTGCCTGTTCAAACAATTTTTCCATCAATTGCAATTAATTGGCATTCTGCTCGTATTCAAGTGGCCGGTCGCTCTATAAAGTGAAACGCACCCCCACTATAAGTTCCCTCGCTCTCGCCCTCATCCTTGTCGTCTCCATCTCCCCACCCCACCAGCACATACCAGCACCACTTCAGCCGACGCTCCACCACCTAAGTTGCATGCGCTGTGCACAATTAAGGCGGCGCCATTAAAGCTCATCAAAAATGCAGGCCAGACAAGCCATTGGACGTACACCCGTACCAGGCCCCCTCACCTTCCCATTCCTCTTACACACTCCCTGCCCCCGCCCCTGCCCCATCCTGAGGCAATCCCCTCGCCACTACTCTTAATGTGCCGCTCATAGATTTTCGTTTCCATGCTCGAACCTACTACTCTGAAGTGCAACGAGCGGTAGCCATTTTGTTTTTGCTTGGCCCATTTTGGGAAACGAGATCTTTAATGACATCGTTGTCGATGGGGAAGAGACCTCATCGTTGTTGTTGCTGTTGTTCTGGCGTTGTCGTTGCGGGCTCTAATGATGATAGCTTGACAAATATTTATTGCTTAAGCATTTGAGTGCAAATATTTTAATTAGTCTGGCAACAACAACAACAATAACAACAAGAACAACAAGAACAAGAGCAACAATAACAGAGACTAGAGCATAACAAAAAGAGCAACAATAGCAACATCAGCAGCAGCAGCGGCAAGTGCGAGAACATTTACAATAAAAACAATATGAACACATAGAGATGCTAAAGATGCTGATGAGACTTAATGAACTGTAAAGCGACTTTCAATTGTCTCCAATTAACAAAATTAACAATAACAATAATAGCAATGATGGAGCAGCGAACGCTCTTAAACTAGTTAGTTATGAAAAAAATATGAGTAATTATGTTGGGACGAGTTTTCCTTGTCCCCTCATTCTATTGTAATTACGAGTGTACGAGTATGTACATAGTCCCGGGGCTGAAAGGTTATATTAGCTTTGCTAGTGCGTTCGTATGTAGACACGACATTAAAGTAAATAATCCCAGTCAACAGCTGTCATATTTATCATAGTTGCTGAGTAAACAATGTATCTACAACAAAGTATACAAAGTACTACAAAGTATAACTAAATTAAGGAAAGTACTATATAGTATAGCATCTGTGTCTTCTTGACATTCTCCGCACATTAAAGAAGAATGGACTTATTGTAATTGTCTTAAACAAGCATTTTCGTTATTAATCCTTATTCACATGAAATTCAATTACATGAGGAGCTCTGCAACAAGGAATGAACACACAAGTTTCGACACATCTTCGGGTCATTATTGGAATGGTTCAGGGTATCCACAAGTCGACTGCAATTGACCCGAGCGTCTTATCTCGCCTTGTCAGGCCTGCTGTCGGACGGACAGTGACGAGCGCCAGCTGCCGAAGAAATCACTGAGCCTAATTGCAGGACAGAGCGAACAGATTGGATAGCATCGCCTGCCAAAAAGTTGACAGCTCAAGGCGATACGGTGGCATGGCGTGGCGGTATGGGCAGCAAAAAATCAAGAAAATGTGCAAGTGTTTTATGTCAGGAGTGGCGCAAAGTCTGCAACAACAACAACAACAACGAACAGCAACGAAAAACACAAGCTAGCTGAAGACTGAATAAGTTAAAGCCAAGGAAGGCTTAATGACTAAATGGTGCGATTGATGGGGGATGGGGGATAGGGGATGGGGAATTTGAGGAGCGAGGGGGATGGACAAGCTGGCGGATGGCCAGATGGAGGGGCGGGATATGTAACTGAAACGAAACATAATTTGTGGCATGCAAAGAACTAACAAAGCGTCAGGCAAGCAAAACTTTCGGCATGCTGACGAGAAGCGTCAAAACGATCGAATCAATGTTGTTGCTGTTGTTGCTGCTGCTGTTGTTATTGCTGTTGTTGCTGTTATGAAGACCGCATTGCACATGCTCGCACTAATCAATACACGACAAGCACGGCAACAACGACAACAACAACAACAGCAATAACAAGAACAAGAAAAAGTTGCTTGCACTTCCGTTGCTCAGACGTTTAAGCAATTTGCAACAGCAGCAAATTGGGCCAAATTATAAAGCTGGCAGGCTAGCAGGCTGGCGGCAGTGGGCAACGGTAGTCAACAGTAGGCAGTAAGCAGTACACTAACAACAACAACTACAACAACAACAAAAGTGCAGTAAAATCAACAAAGCTTTGGTTTTTTTTGCCTCTGCCTCTGCCTTTGGCTAATGGCAGGTGCAAGGCATGCAAGTTAAACCATAAAGACATGAGTAAAGACACAACAGAAATATCGAGAGCAAGAGAGAGAGAGAGAGAGAGAGAGCGAGGACAAAGGGTGAAGGGGTAAAGCAGCTGCATAGTTACTGTTACTGTTGTTGTTGTTGTTCTCGCTATTGCTGTTATTGTTGTAGCCATTGCCATGGCCAGCCCCAAGGCAGAAGGCAAAAGGCACAGGCCGAACTACGATTTCTTCAACTAATGATAAGCCTAATTGTTTATGAATCGAAAGAGCAGACAAATCACGCATATTTACGGTTATGTGTTTGTACATACATATGTATATGTAAGTCGTATGTGTGTCAGAAAGTCGCCCCAAATAAGCATATAACATACACATGTATATACATAAGAGTATATGCATAAATATATACATATGTACGCGTGTAGGTATGCTTAGAGTATGGAACAAATTAAGAGTCAGCGAAAATGGTTGCCTGAGCCTAAATACAAGTATTAAATCATTAAAGAATACTGCTTGCATTTTAAATGTGAAATGATCGTCTTCTCTAAGCTATACATACATATGTACATACGTAACACTAGTGTTTATTTTCTCATTCTGTCAATAATATATACATATATTGCCACATATGTACTTTATGTATGCATACATATGTATGTACATATATTATTAAAATATAGACAAAATATTGGCTTGCAATCTAGATGTGTTTCCTTACTGCACAGAAATTAATCGTCAGCTGTCTCTTTTTCGACTGCATTGCCGACGCACTGCTTCACAGAGACGAAAAGCCCCTACTGGATTCTGAGGCCATTAGTGCTGCTTTAAAATTCCGATTTCGCCTTTGAGCTGCATTTTTAGTTTGGTGTCATATTTTGGCAATTCTTCTTAGGTTTGCTTTGGCTTTGTAGTTTCTGGTTCAAATAAATTTCCATAGGGTGGAATGGTGTCAAACATTTCTCTAAAATTACAGAGCCCATCTGCATATGAAAAACGGTTGGATGTTGCCCCAAATATGACAACCCCAAGCTCACACAAATGGGTCTATTGAGTGCTTGTAAGCTTGTTATTTTAATTTAAGGTTTCTTATATGTTTTAGGTTTCCAATTTGTTGAATTTCTGTGTACCGCAAGTCTCATATTTAATGTTTTGTTGTTGGTTTGAGAAATGATTAGGTCGTCGTCGGCTTAAAATATCAGATTTTGAAGAAGGTGAGTCTAACAGTCTATATTTATATAGACACACCCACATTTCCGCGTCAGCTAATGACAAACGAACGAGAAATACTAGAACGACAACGACAACAACAACAGCAGCAGCAAAGCCTTTAAGACGGCCTCTTCGAGTTCAACAAAATGTCAGCCACAACTTGAGGGTGCCTCTGAATGAATAACTGAATGACTGACTGACTAACTGACTAACTGACTGACCAGTTGACGTTACTTATTCACCAACTAAGCAACAGAAGCTACCTTCATTGCTGCCAAAACCTAAATGAAATTTAACACAAATGAAGCATATTTTTTAAAATAATTATTTCGAAGTTGTGCTGGAGAATAAATACAAATAAAACCCGATTTTTAATTTTATCTAAATTGTGGGCTCACATTTTAACTAGCAAGGAAGCACCGCTTCATTTTTTTTTTGCATTCTTTATTTTTGTCAAAGCGAAGCCGAAGCTTAATTTTAAGTATTTACTTGAGCTTTAAAACTTGTTGGGAGAAATACTTAGTTTAAGATGCACAGCCCTATAAAAACAGTCGTAGAGTAATTTTATAAACATATATGTACATATTTATGTATGTATGTAGATATGCACAAAGTCACAGTAAACGCAATTTATAGTACCCTTGCAGAGCATAACAAGAAGGAATTCGAAAGGAAAAGTTCCACAGTTTATTTGCGATTAGTACATTATAAATGTTTGTATGTACATATGCGTGTTTTATAGGTTTGTTTGTTTGTTTGTTTGTCTACTCACCAGCTCCCTGCCTGAAAGCTCAATGGATGTAGAACACGGGTCTCCTTCCTCTCTGCGGCACTTTGTTATTTGCTTCTGTCACTTTAAACGGTGCAAATAGGAATATATATGTGTATGTGTACGCGCATACATATAGTATGTGTATAGGAAGAACACGGCGACACTTTAATGTTGCACCTTGCGGCGGCTATTGCGGCTCATAATCACAAATGGTGGGCCGGAGTATGGGCTCGGCGGGGGCAACACTTGAGGCAGAGGCTCACTTTCGAATACTCGTTATTAGTTAGAAATATTTTGCACTTCTTATTTGATTTTTGTCTGACTGTTGCTGTTGTTGTTGCTGTTGCTGTTGGTATTCCAATGTCCACACATTCGATTTGACAAATCAACAATCAAACTATAATGCACGCAATATTTGTAAATATTTCTGGCTTAGGTTTTTGTTTTGTTGTGCACAGTAAAAAAAAAAATGTAAAAAAAATAGAGTATTTAAGTCGCACACACGGGTTTTTGTCTCTTCTTCAGGCTTTTAAAAACGTAATATCTAACGACGCTGCCGACGAAAATACAGAACTGCTTGCTGAGTGGAGAGTCCGCCGCTGCAATGCGCACGCCACGAGTTAACAAAACGCAATAAGCGCTCATACCAAGCGTCGAGGCCGTGGAGGCCGACGAACATAACAAAACCAAAATAGACGCAACCGACAGCCATCGAACATGTTCGGCCGACTATGTCTACAGTCTGTTCAGTGGCTGTTAGGGCGCTGTTAGGGTGCTGTTAAGTAACTACGGCAGGCACGCAGCATGCGATGCTTAAGAGAGATGCGTTGCTGCACGGAACACATTAAGAGAGCAAGAGAACGGCGAAAAGCAAGGCGATCATGCAATTTTCTTTATTAATAAATAATTTTAATGCATTAAATTATAGTTTTATATAAAATCAAAGTCCACTCTTGTTTCAACTTAGCCCAAAAATGAAGGAAACAAACTCGTAAACTTCTCAAATCATACCAAGTAATGGCATCATACGATATTAAATGTTTGAAATACTTATGTGGAACTAATAATGTGAAATATTTTATCTTTGTAGATAATTTAAATCAAATGATTTGCACGATTTAAGAATGCCGGGACTGTTACACACACACGCAAACAGTAAGCTGATCAATAAGTCAAAAGCAAGGTCTTCAAGCAGCCGGGAATCGGAATGGTTCCAATTCTCCCATTTTGTGTTCTCAATCAATAAAACGATTGATTTAAGCAATTTGCTGCGTGTCCAAACGCAACTAATGGTCAGGAGACTGGCGGTGGTGGTTCTGCGGACAATCCATAGGCACATGCATATGCATGTCGATAGGGCCGTTTAATATTTTTCCACAACACCCCCCTGCGTCCGCATTAGGGCCGCATTAGGCATTTGAGGCAAACCTCGACGGCAGGGCAGTTAATTCCAAACTTATAGGACCACCAACGAATGCAGCACGAATGATTGCAACGAATAGGTGGTCAGATGAGTTTCGCTTGCAAATGCCGCAACTGCAGCAACTGTTGCCATTGCTGCCACATTCGGAAATTAGCTTGAGGTCAATGCTGTCATGACACTCAGTAATTACTTGCTGCAGCTGCTGTTGCTGCTATTTGCCGCTGTTGTTGTTGTTGTTGGTGTTGTTGGTGTTGCCTCTGCTGCAATCAAAGCGCAGACATTGCCGTCACCCTCGTCGTGCGAACGTCCGCAACATCTTGCTTCATTGAGCTCTGGCAGCGCATATGGCGCTGCGATGAGACTTTTGGCTGCCACAAGTTTTCAACGAAAAAAAAAAAAACATCAAACATCAAAATCAAAGCCATCTGCAAAGCGACGAAGTCGAAATACTCTTGCACTTTTCTTTTGGGCCTATAGCCAGCCGATTTTAGTGATAATCGATTACTTATACACTGCTTCAAGTTGCAAGCTCAGATTATAGGACCGTTCAATACTCCTTCTGGTGCAGTGTATTGATAACGAACATTAAAATCAGGCATCAGGCATGTGGAACACGGATTGGAAATATTCCATTCATGTGATCTGCATGGTACAGTTTTTATATCTCCAACAATCTCTTAGTACATTTTCTATTAGATCGGAAATGTTATCCTATTGGAGTTTGCGCTGCATTGCCGGTTCATTAAAACGCTTGCATGGATGAAATGAACCGCTCGCCAAGGCGATGGAACTTAAATTGCAGGCTGGCCTCCAAATTTAGAGGTGCTCGTAATTGTGAGAATCGAAGAGCTTGCTGCCAAGCAGCTGCAATATGAGTAGCAACGTGCTAATGAATCGACGCTCATCGACTGCAAGATGCGCCGATTTGGCGACGCTCTATGGGCACATCAATACCACCACACACTCACACACATACACATTTATATACACATATAGTATTTTCCAAGACTTGAGCATAGAGCGCCCCAAAAATAAACAACTTTCTGTTGAAAATTTATAACACAAGTGCGAGAGCAATTTAAACTACGCGTGTGACTGGAGCCTAGGTATATCGTCTGGAGAAGCGGATTGGGCAGGGGTAGGGGAAGGGGAAGGGGCAGGGGTACAGCATATATGTATGTAGAGTCTGGGGCTGCGTGATGAAGTGTCGGCGTTGGCAGCGCTGCGCTCTTTCCAATTTTCTGTTATTTTCGGGGCCTTTTTTGTGCTGCGGGGTAATTGTCATGTAATTTATGGCCGACGTATGGGAATATCAATGCTGGGCTAAATTTACACACAAATAGGCACGCACACTCGTACACAGGGACACAGGGAGGCAGTGAGAGAGAGCAGCGACTGTGGCAGAGATAGCACCAAAAATTTGGATAAGCCGCGAAACAATTAAAATTAAAGCGCTGTTTTGGTAGCTGGTCCTAACCAAGACCTGCCCTTTGCGACTTTGGTTTTTGGTTGCGATAAACAGATTTCTTATAAACAAAAATATTGAGCTACAAGCACCAATTGGGAGCCCTTCTTGTTGTTGTTGTTGAGGTCTGTCTTTCCCTGGATAGGTCAAGTAGTTGCGGCAAACACGCAACAGCTTCGTTTGTAAACATGCCCCATAAAGCGAGCACTTGCCTGTGTTCACAAAATGTCATTCACTTTTAAATTCATAAATAAAATACAAACATTCATACAACATACTACTATATATGTATCTTATATGAATTACAATCCAATTTAAATTTTGTTCGTATTGCTGGTGATCATTAGAAATCACTGCTAGTTCGAAACAAAAACAAAGGTTTAGGGGGCGATTTCAATCGTTAGAAGAAGAAATTATGTTTTTTGTTGCCGTTTAATATATGTATGTACATACTATATATACGGGTTGGGCGAGCTGAAAAATGTAACAGGCAGAGGAGGCGTGGCAGACCCCCGAAAGTACATAAATGTATATATATTCTTGATCAGCATACAAATTATAGGAAGGTATAGCCATAAATATAATTGCTGCCCAAGCGCTGCCCGCAGCTGCTGTTGATGTTGCTGCTTTGTTTCAACATTGTACTGCAAACATGCTCGCACAGACACGAATAGACAGGCATAGACATGCATACACTCGCATGGACACAATTCCTATGTAAATGTGCAATTATACACCCATTACGTGAGCTGGCATACCGAGGAAGGTAAAATCGATCAAAATGTATTTTTGAATTTTCTTAATATTTTTAAATTTCTATAATTATTCCAAGCATACTTTATGTACAGAGTATTTCAAAATCGGGACACCCGACTTTAGCTTCTCTACTTGTTTAATTACGAGTTGCAGTGGCAAACGGTATTTAAAAAAAAATTAATTAACAAAAATGTTTTTTAACACATTTTTTTACTGATCGTTGCGTCCTTTGGAGCCAACTTCAATGGCATAAGCTTAGTTCGATTTAAAAGCACTTCCGCCCGAGGCAGCCGAGTGGTGGCAAAGCAATACCAAAAACAATAATAGCTAACAGATGTTCGCAGCTTCATTTATGAATGCCGGACGGGGGGTCGGGGGTGACATTCAATTCATATTTTATATACCTCTGGAAACCTCCATTTGTATAAACATGTATACATAAATAAAAGAAAAGCGATTTTAACGCCCCGACAGTAATTTCACGCTATTCCCAGCTCCCCATTGCTCCTGCTACTCGAATTCCGCATCCGACGACTGCTCCTTCATTGCCTTTGTCTCCCCGTGTTTATGTTAAATGGCTTCTGCCATCCGGTATATGCCACACACGCACACACAAACACACGCACGTGACTATTTTTAGGTGATCCCCATAGTCCTGAGTTAGTTAAGACGGTCCTTTTCATCAATTCAAATGCAATAGCAGCTAGGCATGATTGACTGTGAGCTCGGTATTCGTTTCACTTCTTTGGCCCTTTCCCTGAGGGCGGGGGTGTGGCCTTAAAACAGGTCTACCAGCTGATACCCATTCCCGATTCCCCGTCCCCCGTTCCCCGCCCCCGTCCCCGTCCCCAGCCACTCGCACTTAGTCATCGACAATACTTGCGCCCGCCCTGTCGCGTCATCTGAGCGGATGCTGCCCATCTAAAAATATCAGTCGTCTTCACACAATGGGGGCGAGCAGTCCGAAGGAAGACAACTCGTGGTCTGGTTACCGCGACAGCTGTAGTTCATGCAAATTCGCGTCGTCGGGGTGCATGGCATTTGGCACGCTTCAATCGCTGTTGCATCCAAAACAACAACGGCAACAACGACTTTGTTGCTTGCGCCAATTTCAAGGGCATGCGATGCAGTTCCACTGGAGGCGAACAACACAAAAAAAAAAAAAATAATAACTTAACAAAAGGGGAGGCAGACGAGTGGGGATTCTTTTTTTTTTGTCGCCGACAATACTACTTATAGCCAACCCCGTCATTAAGAAATTAAATATATGTTATATACAGATGTGTGTATGTATGTATGCGCGAGTATGCACTATTTTTTGAGGTAGAACTTTACTGTTTATACTTGTACTCTGTTCTTCCTTTAGAGCTGCAACCCTCACATGAAGATTCAACTCCTGGCATTACGTTCATTACGTTCACTACTCGTCTCTTTAGCGTTTTTATTATTAATACCACTGTCATGGACCTACCGTCTACCATCTACCACTACCACCGCCCCCTTCCATTATCCGCCATGGCCGTAACACTGGCAGGCGTCGCTTTTTATGTGTGTTTACTGTGAAATTTATTTTTAATTTAAACGACGAGCCTCGGCGTGTGCCCTGTGCTGTGTGCTGTGTGTTGTGTGCAACTGGAGTAACTGTAAAAAAGGGAAAACATTTAAACAGGATGCAGCAGCAGCAGCAACAACAACAACAAAAACAGACGAGAAGCAAGCAAACGAGTTGAAATTGCTTAAAAATTGCCAGACAGTGCAAATATGTTCCAAGGGGGCCAAATGGCCCGGGGCTGCCTGGAGACGCTATAGATGTCGAGTTGACAGCGTCGCCAGCAA